CATGTTCGCTCCATCAACACCATATAGTTGGGCTTTTGTTTACTCATCTTGCCTGATCAAGTTCGGGGCGTTTGCAGGCAAGTAATACAACTAGCTTTTCATCAAATGCATCCACATGAGCTTCTAAAATCTGGTCTCGCTCATTCCCGTTTCTATTTTTCATCTTTTACTGACCAAGCAACACATTTTGCAAACTCTTTCTTTAGCTGTTTCAATGCACTGAACATTCAATACAGAAGCTGAAGCGATTGCTACACAGTAGCCAAGGGATAGGTTGTGTAGACATATGTAATGGACAGAAAGCTATGCTGTAATAAATACGGAACGAGACCGCAATATATCTTGACCGCTTTTGTGGTTTATAGTTGCGGTTTTCGTCGCATTTTACAGCCTCTTACATCAGCAAGTTGTTCCTTACTTATGACCACTTGTGTAAAACTGCTTGACCATGCTATTCGCGTAAGCACCTGTGATAGCTACAATGTTAATCAGGCGAGAGTTCTCTCTTGGGCTATATCGAACAATGTATACAGCAGAAAATGGTTCAATAGTTCAGTAGTGTATGACAGGATAAAAAGCATAACTTTACAGGACCAAAAAGATAGATATGCGAACGAATAATATCAAGGGTTCTACGTTGGAACGTAAAACGATTGTATTCTAGTCATTACACACTAACACACTGGTGTTTGACGTTTATATCTAGGATAAAACGCTAATGGTATTTCCAATGCTGCTATGTCTGGTGCGCCCACTAAATGTGTTGCTAGTACATTCCACTGGGAACAGATTATAAGAGAGTAAAAATATTTTCTACGAACCAAACGGGTGTGTTGCATTACTCGTTTCATTTGCGTGTGTGGCTTCGGCATTGATTGTAAGGGCTAGGATCAGCATTGGTTTACATGAATGATCGCTTTCTATTATTATTCGGTGAAGCCGTCGATATGCTGCGGAGAAGATGCCGGGTAAACAACGGCGCGGTTCTTAATTAAGATCAACTAGTCCACTTGTTGAATTAGGGCTCTTCTTTTAGACTGCTGCATAGGACAATTTTTTTCTTTCCAGGCATTTTATTAGAACTGAGGCGCTTACTCAGCGTGTGGCATCGACTTAATCAGCTGGAGTACTAGCCGTCCGTCAGAGGTGCCCAGAGCTCTCTTCAAGTTCCTCAAGTTCCCGTTCCTAACATTTATTGCTTTCAAACCTTGGAGAGGAGCGCCTCAACATTCCGGTAGGACAACCCTCAACTTTCGTTCATTAGTAAGGTGTTTCAGAAAGTGTTGCTTCAAAAAGCATGTACTGGTGAAGCTGCTGTGCATCGTCAGTGAGTGGTTCTTCCCAGGATTCAGGATTCATTTCTGTCCATTCGTTAATTCGGTCCAGATCGTTCTGAAGATAGATATTGTCGGATGCTGAACGAGGTGCTCGCTAGATTTTAGCAGCATCTGCAAATATTCCGATAGAATGTTTACTAGAATGGCATTGATGTGCACTAAAAACAGTAACTCACTGAGGACGGATCCTTGCGGTACACCATTGGAGATGCACAAGCTTTGCAACTGAGTCGCTTATCTTGATTACTCTGTCGTGTAAGTAGTCTTCCAACCAGGTGAGCAGGGAACCGTTGATACCGTGGGTAGCAAGCTTTTGGAGGAGAACGAAGTGATGGACCTTGTCGATTGCCTTAGTAAACTCTGAGTGAATCACATCTATGGGGACTCCTTCATCTACCGCCCTGCTTATGAGTTTTGAGTATGCAGCAGGTTTGTGAGGCAAGATCGTCTGCACCTGAAAGCATGTTGGATATTAGAAATTATTCGCAGACTTCCAAGATATGGCGTCCGTTTTGCTGCGATTCTCGATTCCATCAACTTTGATAAAACAGGAAGAAGAATAATCGATTGGTCGTTAGAGTGATCCAATCGCTTCTCTCCTTTGTATGGTAAAGTGATGATTCAACGTTTCCACTCAGATGGGAGTGCATGGGAGTCAAACAGATCCTGTAACAAGGCTGCAAGATGTACTGCTATGGTGGGGGTAACAGTTGTAAATACCTGTGGACAGATGTTGTCGGTTCCGGAGGGACAGTTTGCCTGTAGGGACCTTACTTTGCTTTCCACAGATAATGGGGTGAATATGACGTTGGATAAGCCGACGACATTTGATGGGTGGTGAGCCAAACTTCAGGCGTAGATCGTTCGCGGTATCCACAGCAGTATTCGTCATGCCACTTGCCATGTTGAGCGGTGGTATCCAGACTTAACCTTTCTTTTGCCATTCCCATAAATGTAGAGCAGTTCGTTGTTATTCGCAAACTTGTGTACCATTGTCTTCGGTCATTTTTACTTGAGAATTCTAACTGGTGACGCAGTAGTTTCCGATAGTTCCGTAAGTCACCCATGTGGTAGCACATGAGCTTAGCGCATGTAGCCTCCAAATCTCAAGTTTCCTGTCAATCCATTTATGCGTCCTGCCTCAGATCCAATCACTGATCGGACACAATGCTCGTAATCGTACAATTTTTGATGATGACTACATGACCTATCTAATTTTGCCTTTTATCTCATTCTATGCGTCCTTTGCCGAAGTGTGCGTTTATAGGACCCAGTGAAGGGTTATCGCTAAGTTGTGAAGCGTGGAATAGACTGAAATAGTCGTTCATCTCCTCGTTTTCATCAATAATACTGGTATAACACACAGCTAAACTTAAGGACCAAATGGTTGCTACGACCCAGTGGAGAGTCTTGTGCTACTGAGCTAACCAGCAACTCTTCATCAACTCTTCTGTATGATTAGAACTGATGGCTTATTTGAACTGTAGTGTCTGGTTGGTCGATGTTCATGGTTACACAAAACTGCCACATCCATGAATTCAAGTATTTTTGATTTAAACGTTGGCCCACTGACTGTAGGGATTGTACTCCTGGCTTGCATCCTTTAAGTCATCAGTTCGAATCCGCGTAGGGGCAGGCGTCTTCGCAGTGTACTCAGTCAACACGCTACCGGTGGTGGTCGCTTGACAGCGAATCGTCGATACTCTGTGCTGGCGTACTGCTGACGACTTTCCTCTTTCTTTCCACTCCTGGACACTGATAATATTGAAGGCACATTGAAATCGTCCATGATAAGTTAATGAGAGTACCATTTAAAATGGCACCCTGGAGTGCGTTTAACAGAATGTCATCTCTCGCTTCAGGGGAGTTCGGTGGCTTTTAAACAGCTGCTAGAAGTAAAGATTAACGCGTCTTCCTTGCCACACACCAACTGAAACTGCTAGCTGCTGTCAGCAAAATAATGCGTCTGGAGTATCAAGAGAATGTTTGGTAATGTTTGGATCTCGATGGTACATAGCATTACCGCCACCGCTAGTTGGACGATCATTCCGAATGACCCATATTTCATTGAGTTCAATCTGCAGATCTTGTATATGGTTTGAGAGCCAAATGTCAGTGATTGCTAGACCGTCGCAAGTTTTGTTTCATGTTTACGGAGCAGTTTCGGGAACTTAAAATACAACCATTGAGTGTTAGTGTAGTCGCATTGTAACTGTTGAAGTACTAAGACCTCCGTTCGTTGCTGCAGTATTTTGGAACAGATGATCTGAGGTCGGAGCAACCGAGTCTAGCTCATCTGTATATGTGGTCCGTACTGCTGTACTGGAGGCCGAAATTTCCTGTTGTCATGCCACGCTCGAATCGTCCTTGATACCATCTCGGGCGTAGATAAGGTATGTTACAAAAATGTTGTCTCGCAGCCGTAGTTGTTTGTGGAGACACCTAGATGAGTGACGTCAAAAGCACGACAATTCGTAGGTCTCAGCGCTGTGTGAAGTACCTTCATTCTTCGATGCTATGCTATTTTCGTTCACTGTTTTTTTTGCTTCAATTATGGAACACGATGAACTAGTACCACTTTATTTCATTTTGACGTTACGTGCTCGGATAGGATTGCTGCTTCTATATTTTTGCCCATGGTTCGTCCGGAAAAATACTGGCAAGGAAAAAAGTGTTTACTAGAACGCTACTTGCTAGGGGAACATCATCCAGATCCGTGTGTTGTCAAATGTTACTCGCTGTAACCGAGGTTCTCCTACGTGCGGAGATGATTGATTTCGTGGAAGGCGTTTAAGACTGGTTGGAAAAACCTCCAGTCCGAGTGCCCAGGTTATCTCAGCCTAGAGATTTGGCATCTCGGTTTGTCCACCTCTTAACAATTCGCTAGTGTGTTCTGGGATCTTTGAACATCTCACTGTTATCGCCTTTTGTTTGTGATGTAACTCTTTGTTCTGCGGTTCTTTGTGAGCGGAGTGTTATCGTGTGTGATTGGCGGACTTTTCTTCCGTGGGAGACAGGCCAACGCTACTGCAAGACTGTTTACGTACAACGCCGTTAGATGCACTAGCTGTGGGAGTCACTTGTTCTTGCCCAGCAAATGACGGAAGTGATCGTGTTATTTTTGCGTATCTCTGCTTGCTTTGCAGCATTACATGAGACCTGGGAGACCATTCAACCGGCCTATCATCACCGCACTTCGTCCCCAATGGTCTTCGCTTTTCCTAAACTGTGTAGCATATTCATCAGCAAGTCTTTGTGTTTGAGCATGTCTGAAAGTGGGGCTACGTAATGCACAAATTTGCAACTTCGGTCCAAAGAGTTTCCCTCACAATACTGCAATCAGTTCCTATCACCCTGTGAACATAACAGCCTACGTTTCGCAACCGCTGTATGGGTTTGAATAATCCCAGCTATGGGACTATATGCGCGTGCATCAGAGAACCGGAAACTGTTTGTGGCTGGGCTGCTCTTTCCGTTACGTTTTATGTTCGCGATTGTTGTTTCCTAGGAATTGGCACCGAATGAGCACTTTATTACTGAAATGACTTCTGGACTAGGGAAATACAGCATATAGCAATCAGCATTTTTACATGAAAGACCCCGAAAACCCTTGCTATTGCTTGCTTGTCTAGCTAAACATAAAACATACCGTGGGCAACTTACGAGTGTAAAGATCGGAGTGAGTACGCACCAGAAAATAATGGGTATTGGTCCCATGCTGAATCCAAGCATCAGCTTCATGTTACGGGATATTTTCCTTCCTCCTGAACAATAATAATAATAGCGAAAGGTTATTTGCGTTTCATTGGTACAAAAAACCGCCCCAGTGCAGTGTCAAGCTAGTAATGATCTAATCCTCTACAGGGGGTGTAATGGGTAGGACTATTACTCATCTGTTATTTATAGTTTTACTTCAGCTGAGGTAGGTTCACATCTACACTCTGGCACTTCCGAAGGTCAGAAAATCATACAGTCTGTAATGGACGATAGGATTCTCCCAATCGCTTTCGTTATCTGGCATTATCTTCAGTTAATTGAGTATGGTCAGCTGTCATTTTCACTAGACTATACTTGATAGCTTCGGCGTCCGTCCTGACGGCGCATATACTGGTGATATCATCAAAAGCGTACATTTTACGTGATAGTATGACTCACCATAAAAGTAACCAACTACAACGCATTCGAAAAACGCTGTCAGCATGATGATCAGGCTGCCTGCGTAGTGGTTGAAAAGTTGGAACAAGTACATGCCGCCCTAAAAGGAGATAGATAAACGTTGTGAAACATCTTAAACTCATCTGACGATTATAAATTGTGCAATATTGCTGCTGTTTTGCCTAGATCTGAAATAAATGCATGCGTGTGTGGGTTGAGTGTTGTCCTTTTTTCATTAAACATCATACCATCTTCATTCTAGTGTTCTAGTTTATAGTGTTTTAAAGTTACTGGTGGTAAGTCTCATGGTGTCCACTCGCTCAGGCAATCACGTCACTAGAATGAAGGCTAGTGAGTGGAAATATACACTAGCAGGACCTGGAGAACCCTCATATCGATGACACTCTTTGAATTCAGAGTGAGAAATGTTATACTTCAAGTGTCCTAGTAATTACGTCCAATTTCGCTCCTGTGCCCAACGCGCTTTTGTGGCACAGCAGAAGTATCGTTCAACCCAAAACCGTTACTCTGATAAAAACACATTGTCTTACACTTAAGTTGGGATATTATTGTTTAGTACGCGTCGTACACATAATGTGGGGTGTTTGGGAATTGGCTTTGTTCTTCATTTTCCCTAAGAAAGTAGATTGTGCATTTTTGCATGTGGCTTCCCTCTGTCAAACGCAAAACTGTGTTAGCAAGATGACTAGAACGTATCTGGCCACACGATGGTCGATCACAGTACGATAGTCCTGACCCCTAGTAGCAAGGAGAGAGACATGGTGCTGGGACGTTTCTTCTATGCTCTCTTTTGCAGACGTAGCTAGGAATTTTGCAACTGTCGCACGCCTTCATGCGACAACATGGCAAGAGCAACTATCCTCCATCAAACGATGCCAACTATTTAGTCTAATTTGGTATATGAACTGGATACTTGTCGTAACTCTGCTGCCGCCACCAGGGTGGAAAGATGAATCCACTGAAACTGGACAGCCTGTCCACATGAGACGTCACATATGGCCTTACCATCTGCAGGAAGACTCAAGGGTCGAGCCAAATAAACACCAGACGTTATAGACTAACGGGTTGGTCCCAGCCTTACAGTAGTCGAAACTGTCTGGAAACGCCACACCAACGATAGACCACCGAGAAAACTTACAATATGTAGTCTCCAGATATATGTAAGTTATTTGGTCGATGATATATGTGCATACCCACCATGATTCCGAGACAAAATAAAGTTGCCGATTCCTTAGTTGCTCAGCAATTTCATCCAATTTTTGTTGTGGTTTGTTTAACCACCACCCACGTTTAAATGGCAACTCTCATCATTTTCTGGCATCAAATTGATGTTTACCCATATTAGGTTTGAAGTGTTGCAGCACCGAAGATTGAGCGAAATAGCATCGCGTGCTGCATAGCTGATTCCGCAAGGTGAATCTTAACCTCAAGCCACGTGTCGGTAACTTATGCTTAACAAGCCGGCTCGAAACTGTTGCGAAGTAATGATATTGCTAATGGTTATTGTAGTTATCAGTTGAACTGACTCACTAAATTCGGCCTGGTTGAATTAGCTACAACGAGTTTCAAGTCATTCGCGTTAAGGAACACACGAAGTATTCCAGCTACATACATGTCGAAAATATTTTTGTCGCTGTTTCCAGCTGAGAGCCATTTAACTCCCGCAACTGAATTTGACGTAAAATAATCACTCGGCTCATGTTATGATCCGTTTCCAGAATAGCGGCTACCTTGGAATAATATACCATCCGACGCCACATCTAGTATTAATGCTGTCTTGCAACAGATTTCACGGGAATCTATGCTCTATACTTAAAGCTGGGGCCTCACTGATCTCTTTCATCCTGGCTTATATGATTTGTCTCTTGACCGCCTACCTTATATACCGAGGTAAAACGCAACCATTAACAGTCGGACACGTTAATTGCTTGTTATCTCCATACGCTGCTTTATTTCACAAGCTGTGAATTCGTAATAACGCACACTCTGAGGACCTTTCTCATAGACATGACGGTTCGGGGTGCTTATGCAAAAGCTTGGGTTAAGCTCGATGGTATTCTTTAATGGATCTCGAGTTATAAGCATTACCTAATAATTCGTAGCTTCCCTTTAAAACAAAAATTTGTACCTTGCAGCCACTCCCCAGTGGTACAGTATGCTATGCGTACGTTTTATGACGATCGAGTAGTCAAACGCTGACAATATTTTTACCACATCGCAACCCATGTTTACGCTTATCTGTCCGATGAGTTCAAGTCCAACACTCGCCGCTTCTGTCTTCGTCCCTCCCCGCTCGGTTTTTGCTTTTGTTATGCGTAGTCTACTCCAATCTAGTGTACTCGCCACTTGACTTATTGCCCAATTTCGCACGTACATTAATCCCACTCGTGACTGGTTTGCCACATAGTGAGTGACTAAAGAGAACGCACCGCACATGCCTCAGAGGTGGTAACGACCTGGATGCCATCAGAAAAAGGGATACTCGTTCAAAGCTATGGCGTCATATGCTTGCTTACGTATAGTATCGCTTGATACAGCCAGAGACCATGTGCCTATTCTGTCATAAGTTAGTTGTCTCCCGTGTACCCATGCGCATCAACACGAATGTAGTACTGACGTTTCTTGCGCTCGTTGCGCAGCTGATGGGGTCAGTACATTGCACTAAAACAGAATGCGCGGTGCTTGAAAAGCGATAAATGGTGGGTACGCACACAACAATTTGTTCTGTGGATCGCAGTGCATTCGGGACAGTTCATTTATCGGAGGGATTTTACTTGTTTCATATTTTCGCTTTACTGTATCTCATGCTTTTTATAAAAGTAAAAGTGCTCGCACGTTGTTTAACAAACACAGCATTTGCAACTATTTAAAGTCAAGTTACATTTGAAAGTATTAACATACCTTGTTGAATAGACAAAAACAACAGTCTGTGCTACTGCATAACATGCCCATTAGTCACCAGTAGTTCCATGTATATGCAAGCTTCAACAATCACTTCCAATAACAATTAGGGTGTGCCCAAATTTTTCATGGGGCGCAAAAATTGTTAATGCAACAGGTTGATCAACGTTAAACACTTAGCCTCTTATCGCAATGCTGATTCTATGTTTCCTATAACGGTTGCGGTTACTCAATAATCTGTATTAAGCAAATAAATCTTTTTCGATTTTCTGCTTGCTTTTTGAATGATTTTCGACCTATTCGTTAGAGTACAAGCGCAGCAAAATGGCCCGTTTCAATTTTTCACCTCGAACCTATCATTAGCGCATTCACTGATACCAAAATCGGTGGTGATGCGAAACATCCTCCATGATTAGCACAACTTGCCCTACTTTCCGAGTTATTCAGACATGTTGGATGGCACCTATGCTAACTTGCAACGACGGTGGATGGTCATTAGTCAGCGATTCCGATCTCCACTCCCATGAGGTTCACGGTTCCCACAAGTGCATACAGATAGGAACTCAACACGGTCCAAGGAATTCTGAGGATATATTATGTGACCCGTGGGCGGAAAAGGAACGACATGTGACTGCGGATAGCGCTGCAAGCAAGCGGTTCAAAGTAAAATCAGTCCAAATGACCGAAAAGTAATTTGGGTCACTTATTCAACATTTGCTTGCGATAGTTATCTATCTCACCATTCGTGCCTATTAGCCCTTTCGCATTAGCAAAACGATTTGCTATTTCGACAAGCAAACAGTTAACACAAACAAATCACATGAATTGGTGCTGAAGAATCTACGCACTCAATTTACCAAAACTAATATTTACTCAAACTGAAATCGTCGCATACCTGAGTGCACAAAACTGTGCATACTATTTCCGGTATCGCATGCAACAGTAGGAATATATATTTTCCTTTATTTTCTTTTCTTTCGGTCCAGTGAGAAAATGCTGAATGTAGCTCGGTCTCAGCGGTGCATTCATACTATCGGCCAACTGAAGGCAGGCACTGAATGGTCACCAAGTATTACACTGAGATGAAGCAGTCACGCTCTACACGTAGCGCGCAACTGTAGCACGTTCCTTCACAGGATGCACAACAGAAACGACGGAGTGAAATCAATGCGACTCACTATGACCCTTGTGAATTCCCGGAGACCATACCTGAAATTTGAGGAGCTTCAGTCAACGCCTTGATTCGATCCAAACGCTTAAGCAGGACTGCCTAACGACTGCCTGCATAGAGATGTGCAGCTACCACTGTTAAGCGTCATTGCACTTGACATTTTCTTAGCAATTTCAGACGACGCTTCTCGATGTGTTTAGAAATGCATCCCTGTAGTTTGTCGCAGGCCTCTGGTTCCACAGAAACAACCAACACAGTGGACCCGGAAAGGGATGAACTCCACTGGCCATCTGTATTGTACGTAAGAGCAACACTGATCCGCATGTGATACTAAGTAGTACTCGCTAAGCGTCAAAGCCAGTCATTTAAATTTCGCCATATTTTCCAATATTTTTCTTTGTTATAGGATTTATCAAGCTTGACAGTAGTGAATTTGCTGGCTTCTTCTACTTTTGTTGTTTGCAATATTTTTATCCGGCGGACAATAAATCTTTTGGGTAAAACCCTAGCATTAATATTACTAATTAAAAACCGTGTGTCATCAAACGCGTTTCTCCCAAGTTGTGCGACGAGTAGGCCTTGGTTAAGGCAGAATAGAAGGATTTATTCTTTGGTTGCATTCGAACACCTCTAGTGAACTGCAAGCATCAGTTATCCTTTTTGAAGTTCGACGTAGTTTCGCATTGAAAGACCTAGCCCCGAGAAGTACGAACATCTAAAGGTGTCCATCCTGGTGACGGCTGCATGTACGTAATAAGACTAGCGCGCGGTCGATTCAGATGGTGCAACACTCATCTGCATTACTGGTTCGAGTGTCGCAAACAGCAGTTAACTTTGTGACATTTGTAAAAGTAAGCACTGCACTAATTTTACGCCTAGATCTGTTTTCCAGTTTCGATATATGAGAATCAGTAAACTATAAGCTCAATAACGAGCTTATGTTTAATCTGTTAAACAAGCCTGAACTTCCTGATTGCATCAGTGCATTTTGCTCATCTGGTTTGTCC